ATACGGGATAGTTCTAGAAACAAGAGAGCGTGAGAATTGTCACGTGATCTCGATGACGCAACACTATCATTGATAAGATGAATTGTAAGGCCTAGACACTCATCTTTTTATCGCTACTATAGATCATGAATAATACAGGGTGGCCCAAAATTATCATTCCTATTTTAAAATGTAATAATTAAATAATTAAAGAAATACAGCCAGTTTTAAACATCTTGTAGCCAAACGCAAGCAATTTTATTGACATGCCAGTAGACTTCTACGTGCGCACCATTAGTGGCTCTCAGAACGTATAACCGATATTTGATCGCAGCGTAATATTTGTCATTCTTGAATGCCAATTATTACACTGAAAAACAACAAGCGTAGATAACTTTCACCTATTTAATACACTAATATATTTTGTTTCTTTAAAAATGTTTTCGAAATTATTAGCTATTGAAGAACTATTGTAAATCAAGCCAATCACAATATCAACCATATGTTATGAGGGTAATTTTAAATTCGTTGTTAATTTCATATACGTAATTTTTCTTGACTTCTAAGTGATTGTAATAACGAGAATTATTTATATAAATTGAATTTTTTTGCCACTGTTAACTGCAAAGCTATGTTATCGTAGTATTGAAATTACATTAAATTATAGGTGTGTGGTATGTAGCTACAGAAATGTTTATATAATAAATACATAGAACAAAATGATTACGTATTTATATTACACATCCTGAAAATGGAAGAGGCGAGACCACCAAGAGTTTTGGACTATATAGCTTTACTTATAAAATAGCTTCAGGAAGGTATCAGGTTTGTTGAGAGCTCACCTTGTAACTAAAAGATGTTGGCTGTAAGTTATTTACAGTTATTGAGTTTGGTAGTATTAAGTATCTTTATCCGAACAACTTCAATATGCTAATACTAAGGCATGTTGAAGCAAGTGCAAGCCATAGCTCCAAAGATGACATCATAAATATCTATATTGGTTCTATGCAAATACCAGGCTATTCAACAGTGTAATGTCACAACTTTTAACTCCTGGCTGAAGAACTTTGCCACAACCATTTCCAAAAACTATGTTCGAACAGTAAAATTATTAAATAACTCAGAGCAAAACGATACTTTTCAAAGAATGTAACCTTTAAAGTTCTCTATGCAAATGGAAAAATTGCAAAGTAGAGCGTTGGGCATTTAGAGCAGCAATGTGCTCTGAAATCACATTCCAAGCCAATCAAGAATGACACTGTCATCTGCAAAACAAAGAACATGAGTACGAATGAGAGATCTTCAACCAAATATGTTACTAGACGAAGCCAAGCATGCCTCCTTGCATTGCTAACAATAAACAAGGAAAAGAAACTCATGAAAGCTTACAAGGAAAAAGTCTTTTAGCTATATCTCAAAACTGACAGCTGTTTTTATGACAAAGACGGATTACAGAAACTCGAATCACAACAATCTCATAAACCTGCATACCTGTCAAGTCCCCTGATGCAGCTCAATGAACTTTTGTTTTCTGTAAATGTGGTCATAGAAGCTCATATCCACCTACAATGGAGAATCTGAGAAAAATTTCTCAAGATGACTGGTCAAAATTAACCTTTCTTACTTATGCAGAAACTTGTTACAATAAAAACTGTGCCCATGAGACTGAGTATGACCAATGATGAAGCAGTTCTAACAGTATCTCAGAAACCATACACATTATTTCTGTAAACTGTGATTAAAACAAAATTAATGTAAACTTCTTTATAATTTCTTTTGTAGTTTGGTTAAGAATAAAATACTTTGTCAATTCAAGTAAAAAACAACTTAATTGGTTTTCTTTGGTTTGACATTTTGAGTAGCATCTGTTCATTTATACATCTTCAAATAGTATCCAATTGATGCTCTTAGGTAGATGATCATAAGTGCTTTTCACAGTACACATCTTATTCATAACTAGCAGAGTACCTGGCATTGCTTTAAATGAAAATGGCTTTAACTGAATTAATTCTTATGCTAATTTACTGATCTATTGTAAAGTTTCTTTGGATACAATATTTTCTGTCTTGCTGTCAGAAGCAAAGATTTTTTTATTGCAGCTCCAATTCTAGAGCAGCCAATATAGAACTGGCCATGAGAAAAGCAAGACTATTCTAGATCAAGTCCTACTATCTTGAGGATTTGACTTTGTGCTTTGTTGATGGTCTTGGCAATACCAAAGTTTAATTTAGCATCACAGTTACAAGAAGAAGAAGGAATGCCAACACATGAGCATCTTTTAGAATAAAAGTCTTTGCTGTTACAATCAACTGCTGTTGCACTGACTGAGTAGTACTTTTGAAAACCATATGGTCCCAAAATAACTCAAAATCAAATAGCTCAAATTCTGGAAAAAAAAATAATTCTGCTAAAATATAAAAAAACACAACCTTTATTAGCTCTTAAAAAACTCCAAAATATCATACTGCATTATACAAGTGTTAAATTGTTACAAATAAGATAGCCTAGCATTATATCATATGACAAAAAGTATATACAAATTATGATCAAAATGATATATCACAGAACACTAAGTAACTGACAAAAAGATACCTTTACACAAAAATGTATTAAAAGTTGTTTCAAAAATCCTAACATATTGTTATCTTTTAATTAACTTAGAAATAAATTCCATGTAAAGAAAACAGGTGTATTTAAGAACAATGAATATTCTTTTGTATATCTAAATGAAACAAATCAGGCTTTTGAACCAAATAAAAAACAATTTTTATAAAGAATATCTAAACAAAAAACAACAATACTTAGAACTTATTTTTCTAAGCTGAAATACCAGTTAGTAACAAAATGGAATGATCACCATTGTTTTATGCTATAATTTCACAGAAAATATTCATATTAATATACACATTTATTGTATAATAAAAAGAATCATACATGGAAGAAACTTCTATCTCATATTTTTTATGTTGTTAAAATATAAAAAAATTATAAAAAACAATCACATTATAAATTTTATTCATAAACTGGACACTAAAGTCAGACAAATAAAATGTTTATAAAACTGAACAGGGAATATATTCATTTCTGAATTTTTTTTTTTTTACACAATTACTAAACTAACAGTTATCAAGGTCTAGCACTATTTTCTACTGGTGTTTTCTAAGTCATTAAAAAATCAATTTATTATGTCATATGAAAAATACCTTAGAAGATTTCATTCAAACTATTTTGTTAAATAGTAAACATTTACACTGGATCCCATACTATCAGTCTGAAAGTTACACATGTTAAACTTGGGAAGCATAAGAACTGGTAAAAATGTACTACCTACAATTTGTCCTCTCATTCTACTAATATGCCAAAAATATTAACAATGAAGATACTGAAATGATGAAGCAATACATTCTAATGGTTCTAAGTAATATAGTTTGAACATTATATTTAATTATCTATGCTCATTACTAGGTATAATGTTTAATTGTGATCCATATATGTAGCTTGCTTTAATCAGAAGTTAATATTACATTTTGAAGCTATTACTTATTTTCACTAAATATTTATTACTTTGTTTTAAAATTGCTTTTCACAGCAGGGGAAAAATAACTGCACATTTCCAATAAAAAATTAAATTTATGTTTTCCCAAATTATTAATGTGAGACATTCTTGCTTTGATTCTATTAATAAGATTGTTTTGTTTTTTTATTTTGTGCAAAGCTACATGAGGGCTATCTGCACTAGCCGTCCCTAATTTAGCAGTGTGAGACTAGAGGGAAGGCATCTAGTCATCACCACCCACCTCCAACTCTTGGGCTACTCTTTTACCAACAAATAGTGGAATTGACCATCACATTATAATGCCCCCATGGCTGAAAGGGCGAGCATGTTTGGTGGGACGGGGATTCAAACCCGCGACCCTCAGAATGCGAGTCGAGTGCCCTAACCACCTGGCCATGCCGGGCCTAATAAGAATTGGAAAAACATTTAATATTTCAGATAATTAAGGTACTGATATGCTTATTACTACATGAATGCCAAATTGTTAAAAATGAAGCTAATCAACTTGAGGATAATTTGTTTTATCAATAACAGTATCTTCTAAGTTGTTAATAAAAGTTGCATTAATAAACATAACTTTGGTTGCCAAAACTATCCACTGCAAAAAAGTTACAACTAACATCAACAACATAGATTTGTCACATCACACTGGTAATGTAATTAAAAAGCACATTTAAATCAGAAATTTATGGGTTGTATCATAAGGAAGAATAACAGCCTAAACATGTAGAAACATACCAGCATCCCAATGTTTTTGTAAAATATAATCACACATCATCATGTAATATTAGTTTTAAAAAAATATTACTAAGGTATGTTATTTGACAACTGAAAACACCCAAAGTTGTTTTTTCATATAAACTGATAATTTTTAATAGCAAAACAGACAATGCATTTTATCAACCATGTCAATATACCAGAGCATATAAAGTCACTACAGTGGAGTTTCATCTTACATTCATATCACTAAATTTTTAAAAAATACTGTTGACAAATATGGCATGTTACAACAAGACAGACAACTCTCATTAAAAAGATACTTAGCTTTCCTCACATTCATTTAAATAATTTCTAATGAATCTATTATGTACATGATGTGTTAATATAATTAATTTGAATACACTAATATAGATATTTCTAAATTTCTTCCATTGGTCAACTGTTTTTAAAATAAAGCACACACACCTTGCATTTTGTTAAGATATAATTGTATTTATCAAATACTTAAGCAACAGTTTATATACATATTAACAAAACACTGCCATAATAAAGAAACAAAGTGGTAAATATCTATATAAAGAACTGATGTCAAGTCATTCAACAATCTTATGTTCATAAAATCATGTAGGTCCAAGTTGTAACATGAGCATTGTATTGATCTGGTTGTGCTTAAAATGAAAAATGGTCCACTGAAGTTACAGCTTTTGACTTCTGACTTTAGCTATAAAAACAGAATAATAACTATTCAAAACCTGGCTAATTTAACACGACAGCATGTGCAAGTACAGTAGAAATATTTTATCAATACATAAAATTTAAGTAAGTTTTAAAGCAACAATTTTATTAAGAAACTGTGTTAATTCTAAATTTAAAGAAAAAAAAACATCAGGTAAAAATGTCATTAATTACAAAATGTACACATATAATAATGTAAACTCATACTAAATCGTAAACACTATCAATTGTTTGTTTTGTTGATAACTGCAATGCTACACAATGGTCCATCTGTGCTCTGCCCACCAAGTAACTTCCCATTATTTTAGATTAATTCAATTTTTGCTTAATTTAATCGATAAGTATTATAATTCATGAAAGTAATCAACTAATCAAAATTAGTTCCTACTGTTACTATTTTGACTATCAGATTTTGAATATCACAAGACATCAGATTTACTACTGATCAACAGGGGGTCAAGCATTGCCAATGATGATATAAACTTTTCTAAACATAATTATTTAGTCATTGCAAAGGTTCTGTAGTAACCATGTCTCTTAATATAAAATACAGATTAATCTTAATAGTGATGCACTAGCCACTTGATTCAGCTTATTAATAAGTATGACAGATATTTTGACATATTAATTATACATTTATAAACATCATATACTTATTAGAACAAACAACATAGTTTTTATGGAGATATTATACATCATTGCTATTTTCAAGCCACATATTTAGTTTCCATAACTACAAGTGCATTACAATTCTAATGAACTTCAAGAATATCAGTTACCTTACTAAAATAAAGAAACACTAAGAATAAAATCAATAGCGTGCTTTACAATAAGCATATGGAAGATAATTAAAGTTAGAGCTGGGTAATTACAAACTACTGTTTTTATTACAGTTATCCAGCAGTCAAAATTATGATTAAACTGATTATTGACAAAAAAAAAGAATTAATTAATTTAAATTAGTGCTTTTGATTATTACTGTTTTTGAACTACCCAGTAATCAACTTATTACCACTGTAATTTCCCATTATTTTAGATTAATTCAATTTTTGCTTAATTTAATCGATAAGTATTATAATTCATGAAAGTAATCAACTAATCAAAATTAGTTCCTACTGTTACTATTTTGACTATTCTAACTATCCAAGTAATCGAAATATTTCCATTATGATTTTTCTTCATCATTTTTTAATTTATTCAAGTTTCTTCCATTTGGGCCAGCATAGCCTGGTAATTATAGGGGTGGGGGTGCTTGGGTTCAATTCCCATTGCAACCATACTTGTTTGCCTTTTAAGCTGCAGGAGCATCATATTTGTTTCTTTGTTTTTCAGTTAGGACAAAGCTACCAAGGTTATCTGCTGCTTTCCCTAATTTTCAGCTCCTGACAGCTGGCAGCACCAGTCACCAACTTTTGGGCTACTTTGGTATTAAATAAAGTATCAACATACTGCATCTTTACATTGTGCTAAGTTTCTAACTTATAATTGCATAACTGTATTCTTTAATGTGAATAATGTGTAAAATATGTTTTGGGCTACTTTGGTGTTAAATGAGGTATCAACATACTGCATCTTTACATTGTGCTAAGTTTCTAACTTATAATTGCATAACTGTATTCTTTAATGCGAATAATGTGTAAAATATGTTTTTACACTGGGTTACGTTGAAATTATAACTTGTGTAACTGTATTCTTTAATTTACTTTTTCTATGATGAGTATGTGTCATGTTAGAAACATCACACTTTTTATATCCTTGAATTTGTGCTCTGGTGAAAACAGTAACAGGTACTGACTTGTATGGAACCCACAACTTTCTGGTCAAGGGGACATACGTTTACAGAGCAGTATTCTTTATCCACTTAGTTGTGCCAGCCTTTAGCCATATGATAAATTACAAATGTAAATGTACTAATCAATTTTTAATAAATAACAAGATAAATAAATTGTCAGTTGCAAATTTTAATACATTTCTAGTCATTACTGTAATAAAAAATACAAAATATAAATTTACTTCTACATTGTATTTTATATCATATAAGATACTATATGATATATATACTATCGACCATTTCATGGTCAATAATGTATAAATAGGCTGCAATTACAATGTAGTCTTCATAAGTTCAATATATTTTTTTTTTTGCAGTAATTCCACTGACCCCAGGAAAAAAAGTCCCCAACTCTAAAAGTATTATGCAATTTCTTTCAAAAATGTCCAGAGAACATATTGATATGTATATTTATCTGCAACATTTTCACCCATTATTCACAAGATCAAGTTTCATGTCACAAACCAATCCACAAAACACAGCTCTGATGCAAACTAACTTGAAATTACATCAGTCAAAAAGTTTATTGTAATGATCACTATAACTATATATTAAAATATATTAAGAGTTAAATGCGATTCTGTTCTATTATTATTGAGCTAACTTTTTTTATCTATCTAATTTTTGCTCTTTTTTTCCTGACTTTTGATTTTACTTAGATTAGTGTATGTTTCTTTCCAGCATGTTAGCTATATATATTAGCTTTTTCTTTTATTAGTTTTTATTCTTCATTTATATTTTTGTAAGTTGTTTACTGGTGGCAACCTCATAGCAATATCTTTAAGATGCACTGTATAACTGTCAAGTTGTGTTAATCATCCCACTCAACTAAAATCATTTAACCCTTTCACTGCAAAATTAATTTTCAGGCTAATTCCCAAAAAGTGTCAATTACCCACCAAAAAATAAAAGTATGAATTTGACTAGTTGTATTACTTTTCAATACTGAAAGAAGCTCTGTTTTCTATATGTGACAGTAATATTCTAGAAAACTGTATTGGATAGTGAAAAATAATGATTTAAACCAAAAATAGAGGTAGTCACTTGAGTCACTATTGGTGGATGTTTGTCGCATGATAATTTGCATGTGAGAATCAGTTAAATCATGTGAATCAAAGGGTGTGTGGGAGTGAAAGGTTTGTGGCATGTAAAAATATTTTTTAAATAGAGGGCAGCATTGAACGAAAATAGTTATGTATGCGAGCGGAAGTAAGGTACCTTGTCGGAATAAAGAATTTGAAACTTTCTTTGTACAATGATATCATCAGTGTAAACAAAAGTACTTCACAGAACTTATTTCTTCATACAGTTCTAAAGAGAACCTTTTATCCACTATAGTTTAAAGATTACTTACTAGGTAACTGACTGGTTGAACTGTGGTCTTGATAATATACCACACTAGGCACTGTAAAAAATAAAATACTAGTAATATTCTGGTTCAAAATTAAACACCACAAAGCATCAATGAAAAGTCATCCATTTTATTTTAAGTCACAATGACAATCATAAATATTTAAATAAAGAAACTCATAGTAGAAATTAAAAATTTAAAAAACAACTTCCATATGGTTAACATCAACAACACTCTACACAAGAACATATAAAAGTGATGAATTTCAAAAGCATAACAGCATTCTCAATAGTAATATCACACTTACATACTGAAATAAAAAACAAAGTAAACTGACTCCTGTAATATACAGTGAGAAAAATAGTTAGATATTACAAAAGAAACTGCTTTCATGATACTTGGAGATCACACATGATCTCAAAAGCAAGTAAAACACAATTGAAGAAGCCTAATAACTGATGCAATTAAAAAAAAACCTTCCTACATCGGTGTGAACTAGGAATTAAGTGAAAAACAAAACAAGTCATTGTTGTGGCCTTCAGTGATGCTAGGATGTTGCTATAGTGGTACGTTTTCACAACACAGAACTGTGTAACTTGTGTTGTGATAGAATGTAGGATGACATGAGTAAGAGGAAAATATGGGTGGACAGAGAAACTTATACAAAAAAAAAAATATTATCTCTTTTGTTAAGTTTCTTTAGTTGGGCAGGTCTGTCACAGGTGGCTAATGGGAGAATGGGGGAGGTGTACTGGAATATTCATTTTATCTCCCTATACAGTATAAATTTCACTTCTTTTTTTTTGGGGGGGGGAGTTCACAAAACGAAAACATTACATAAATGAGAAACTAGAATTTTCTAAAAGTTCTGGAAACTACATAAATTAGGTTGGATCTCAACAGACTGTTTTTTACTTCTACAAAATGTTCTGAATAAAAAAAAATTATGATTTTTTTTAAGTTTGTAAAAATTGCAAAATAACTAAAAAAAGTTACAATTAAAACAGTTAAACTCAAAAATGGTTAAAAAGTGAAGTTAAAAAAAACATGGCTGGTGGAAAGCACCATCTTTCTTATGCTCAATATCAGAAAAGGAAAGAAAAAAAAAACTGATTTGGAAAACCAAAAGGGTGTTTTTTGTAGTTTGAAATATTAAAAGAGTGAAGAGTTCATCATTAGATGAGTCAAAAACTACTGCTGCTAAAATTAATGAAAATACAAGTGCTACAACTTCCTTCTACTGTTTTCAAAAATGGATAAAACCAGTTTCTTTTTTACAAAGACAATTCTAAAGATGAAACACCAATAGAAAGCAAAAATATATGGATATTTGATGAGTGATCAAGCTAAATGGCCAAAAACTGACTTAAAAGGTTGTATACAAAATGGGTCCAGTACAACTTTCCTAAGGATGACCACTGAAGGAGGTTCACAACAAGCTATTCCACATCACCATTTGTTAATGCAGATGTATACCAAAATAATGGGTTCAATATCTGGTGTTGTAATAAAAGAACACCTTAAAGAATTATCATCCAAGAAACCTATAATCACTATCTGGGAAAGGAAAATAAGAATGAGTTGATTCAACTGTTGTCCAATAAAATCCTGACTCATGTATTGACTGCTGCTAGAAAAACCAAGTACACTAAACTGTGCTTGTCTATACTCCAGGCATGAGTCACAGAAAAAAGTCACATAAGTCAAAGAAAAGAGATGCATATGATCATTCAATTTGTCACGCTACTGCAAGATCTGCCAATAGAAATAAATATTTCCTCAGATTTTTGCCAAAAAAAAACACAAGTGGTGTCAGTATAATTGAAGCTGTTCTGAGCAAACATGAAGAAATGGTTCTGTCCCTAGAAGACTCGCAAGGCTAAGGATATGGCAATGGAGTCAACATGAAAGATAAGAATAACTATCTTAATTTTAAGAGCTTTTTCTTTATCACGCAAGGCACACACCTTTAACCTTGTGCTGAATGATGCACTTAACTGCTGCACCAAAGTATTAATGTTTCTCAACTTCATTCAAAGCATACAAGTCTACTTTTATGCTTCAACTCATTATTAGAAGGTATTGCTACATGCTGTGAAGTCTTTGAGTGACACACAAGAAAGTTAAATTGATGTTCTTAATGCACTCTAATACCAACTGGGAGAGATCTAAGGCTCTTTGGTCTCCATTACAGAAAACAACATCCTAAACACAGCTAGTGGAATGAGATTGTGTTCAGAAGCAAAACAATTTCTGCCGTGATGAAATTTTCAACTCTACGGTTAATCTTGTGGTATGGTACAACTTACTATGAGATCAACTTTGTCAGCAAGCAACTACAAAATACAAACAATTTTCTTCTTTAGGACAGAGCTGATGAAGACTTTTCAAAAGTATTGTGGAAAGAAGAAGTAAATTTGGAATGAAAAATAACTTTTCATATGAAAGTTGTAATGAGCATATATGATACCCACAGTGAAACTTGAAGACCAGTTTGTTTGTTTTTTAACAAAACAGTCAATACAGCTACTAAATCCATGGAAGAGAGGTTTCAGAAACTACATTTCATTGTTTAGTCTTCTGCACTGCATTGCTGATTTGTCAAAAATAGGTTCAAGGTAGTTGCTGAAACACAGCACAGACCTCCAAATTAGATTGTGAGGCAACTGATGCCAGTGCAACAGGACTGTGTGAAAAATCGCAGACCCTCTCATGAAGAGTGACCAAAATTACTCTGAAAGGTGTACTGGAATACATGTGCAAAAACAGATTACCATCATTGTTTCCCAGCTCCTTTGTGGCACTCAATGGAGACTCTGTTGACTTTGAACATTACCAATGATTGTGGAGAAAGAAGCTTTTCGTATTCAAACTGAGTAACACCTACCCGAATTCAATCTTGACTAAAACAAGGCTGACTGAACTAGTAACAACTTTATTCATGCACAAAATTTCTCATAAAATTGGGCATGAAGTAACCAGGATACTACCAAAATGAAAGCAAAAAAAGTGAAATTTCTGTAACTGAAATATTGGCTCAAATATAAGCATCTATCAAAGAACTTTGCACACAGTGATGTTTAAATACTTCCTTTCAATTGACTCTATGCTAACCTTTATACACATCAATACTAATTTTATAAAAATATTAGAATTATTTAGTTTTGCATTAAAGTACTCAGAAATAACTTTAACAAGACAACTAACTTAAAATCCTATGAACATATAGATATAACATACAAGTAAATTAATGAAAAACAACAAATTACCTTTTCCTCCTGCACCTGGTTGTTTGGCAACTTCATATTCTCTACTCACTAGTTTCCAAGCTGTATTTGTTATAAAATGGATTAGGTAATTTTGTTTTAAGTAGCTAAAATTATACAAATAACTCAAAATTATGAAAATAAAAAACAAATGCACAACATAATCAACTAACATACTGAGTACAATACTAAGAATAGTCTTCACCAAAAAGAAATGTTTTATACTAGTTATGTTGTTCACCCACACACAAAAAATATGCCTGTTATAAGACAGCAAAATAATTTGATTTTAAACTAGCCATTCTCCACAAAGTTTTGTACTAAACCTGCTCTTTACACATAAAAAAAATACAAAAGTTTAAAACTAAGCCTCTACTTTACCTGTAAAAAAAAATGAGTTTTGATACCAAATCTACCCTTCACTCAAAAGGTTTCATACTAAGTCTTCCTTTACATTTGTTTTTAATCGTAAAAGCTATCACAAAGGTATATTAATTCACTGAAGATTACTAAACCTGTTTTATAGAAAAGTTTCAGAGCAGAAAATCAAGGATGATTTTGTTCTAATATCAGAGAGTGTTATGGCAATACAGAAAGACTCCTCCAATGCAAAAATAAGGTATTTTTAGGTAATACTCAGAAAACTACCATAACAAAATCCGTTTATACTTAAATTTTATTACTTTATTGCCCTTTGACCTGTGTCTAACTAATAATCTCATCACACAAGTTGTAGATCACTCGGTGAATATGTAGCTCACATCACCATATTGAATTATTAAATGCATGAGCAGCACACAAGCATACCTCGTAAAGAATTAATTTTATTTCATTA